TGCAGACCCCTGACCACACCCAGCCCACCTGCACCCTCCAGCACACACTCCTGCAGACCCCTGACCACACCCAGCCCACCTCTACCCTTCAGCACACACTTGTGCACACACATCTGCACACTGCCACAGGCTCACACGACTTCATGGTGGGAGAGCCAGCTTCAGTGTGACCAGAGGTCCAATGACTGTGCTGGTGGAGCAGCACAAACCAGGCCAGCGACCGGAGGGGCAGGCTGTGTGTAGCGGGCAACCTGTGCCTCCACCCAGAAAGGAGAGAGCAGGGGCCTGCAGTGTTGGGCCCGGGAGCTTGGGCTCAGGCGGCCCTCACAGCCGTTTACTGTTCCGATGGGAGTGCTCATGGCTCAGAATGGACAGGGATGTGCTGGGGCATGCCCTGCAGAGGATACCCACAGCCCACCTGCAGAGGACACCCACAGACCCACAGAGCCAAGGAACAGCCAGCACCTCCCTCCTCGTCTCCCCAGACCACAGCTTCCAGCTCACAAGCACCCATGCCCACTCCAAAGCACCTTGAGGGCATCTGAGCATACAAAACCTACACTTCAATTGCATTCAATCCAGCCACATTGTGGCTTTAGAATTCTTTCTTTCTTTCCTTTTTTTTGAATCGGGGCTTGAACTCAGGCCCTTGCACTGGCCAGGCAAGCGCTCATTCCACTGAGCCATCTCCCGGCCCTACATCGTGACTCTAAAAATGAAACACATGGTCTGGGGCTGAGGGAAGCTCAGTGCTCAGGCCTCACATGGTGTACACAAGGCCCTGGCTTTTCTTCCAGCAATGCAGAAAAGGAAAGAAAGAAATATGTGAGGAACACTGGTGTACACACTCTGCTCTGTTTAAAAAGTTTCTTTAGAAATTTAAATACTCACACCCTTGCATATGGGCTTTGAGTGCCGCTGCCAAAGCAAGATTTGTTCTGATCAGCAGTCTGCAGCACAGGCCCTGGGAAGCTCAAAACGTCCTCTGTCAACAACCTCCTCCCAGCCACAAGGTAAATAACGCCCTCCCAGCCCTATGTCCTACACAGAAACAGGGCAAACACTCAGTACTTTTCCGTTGGAATTAAACCCAGTAACACAGGGGAAAGTCCTGCGTCACTGTGAGCCACTCTGTAAACATCAGAGTCAAAGTCCTCACCACACACCCCCCTCAAGCCCTGCCTCTGTGTGGTCAGACCAGTAAGGCTTCCACCTTAAATCAAGTTGACCCACTGAGGCCCACATAAGTAAGGACTTTCATGACCAGAAGCTTCATTTTCATGGGTAAATTGGATTCAACAAAGAGAGGGCATTGGAAGAGATGTGTTTCTGTTACTAAAAACCTAAAATCCGCTTGAAGGAGCATTTACTCAGCAAACTGTATCCCGCATTCTGGGAGCATGCATGCCATCCTGGGACGGGGCTGACCCATCCCAAGGGACGCCTTGCCCTGTGCTAGTGAGAATGACAGGTGTTGGTGGCCGCGATGTTCAGCGAGGACCAGCTCCCAGAGGTAGCCAGAAACCTCACTACTGTGTAATGGGTAAAAAAATATGTTGCTTTGAAAATGTGTTTTGCACAGTCATTTAAAATTCCACAAGAAATAAGGAAATTTCCCTTAAAGACATACGAAAGACAAATAACACTTACAAATCAAGACTTCTCCGTACAGCAGTAATTTCATTTTTAAAAAATATTTAGGGCTGTAGGACTCAGAGACAGCAAGGATTTCAAGCCTCAACACTTAGGACAATGCTGCCCAGGAGACTCGGGGAAGGATGGATGAAAGCAGAAACCTTTGTCCTGCTGTCCCCAGTGGCCAAAAAGTCCTGATGAACTGGCTGCGAGTACACAGGGCCAGGGAGCGGCTCAGCAGAGAGGGCCAGCCTGGCAGACTGTCCCCACCCCAGGCGGGTCGTCCACACAGCTGCAGCCAGGAGAGCACATCCGTCAGCAGTGACCACCAGTGTTGCTGGTCATGGGTGGTTCTGCCCTCGGGTCTAACTAGCGAACGCTCAGCACTCCAGGTGGTGATCCTCTTGCTGTGGGCTGGGGTAGCCCCGGGCATGACAGCTCCAGCCCCCCAGACACAGTCTAGGATTTAGGGCTCTCTCTGGATGTGCTGTTCCCAGGATTCACCCCTGGGAAGCGAAGAAGGCAGCTGAAACGGGCATCTCAAGACAAGAACCTCATCTCCAGTAGCAGCGTGTGCAGCACGTGTGTTGTGGCTGGGGTCTGCAAGGGGAATAATACAATACAGGACACATTGGTATAAGATTATGTTATAATGAATCACCCCAAAAATCACTTATACAAAGAGTGCGGGAAATCTGTCCACATACTACAGATCAAATAATCTACCTGAGGGCCTGTGTCCAACAGAAATGTCCTGCGTAATCCAGCTGGAGTCCTAGGGCTCATGACAAGGTCTCATGCCAGCCCGCCTCATGGATTTGCCCTCAGAAAGCCCAAAGGTCAGTGGTCAAGCTAGGAGGTCTACGCCACCAGGAGAAGGATCTGTGCTAGCACGCTGAGGTATCTGAACTGGAGCCAGGAAGCAACGTTCAAGGCAAGCACCAGAGCTCCCTAGAAAAATACCACAGCCATGCTCAGCAAGAGTGAGGTCCCAAGCTCCTCCATCGATGAGGACAGCTGAGCTCCCATCAGGAAAGCCAACACAACGAGCTTCTCCAGGAGGCTGAGCAGTGCACCATCTTCCCTTCTGGAGCCAGGAAGCAATATTCAAAGTGAGGACCAGAGTGCCCCAAAGTGAACTGCAGCCATCCTCAGCAACAGTGAGGTCTTGAGCTCCCCTGACAAGAACAGCCAGGTTCATTAAGGAAGCCAGCGTGACAAAGTCCTCCAGCAGAATAGCCCAAGAGAACCAGCGGCTGCCAGCAGCTCCAACAGCTTCTCCAAGCAGCATCCCTAACAGAGTCCCAACAGCCTCTCCGGCTCTGCCTCTCACGCTGCTGACAACAGCCCTCAGGTGGGCCTCCCACACCAGCACCACGCTGGTTCAGTTCAACCTGGTGTCACAAGTTGACCACCAGCCGGCAATCCACCACAGTGTGTCAGGCCAACCTCCATCCTCTAAGAACTGTCCCTCAAAAAGCACATCAGAGCCTGAGCACCCACGAGCCAGCAGGATCCTGCTTCGACCCACCCAAATTTTTCAAAATCTGAAGCTCTCTCTCTCTCTCTCTCTCTTTCTCTCTCTCTCTCTCTCTCACACACACACACACACACACGCGCGCGCACACAATGCTGAGTGCTGGCCACATAAGTGAGTGCTTTCTGTGCTTTCCTTCCAGATCCCAAGAGATGACCCCGGGACAGTGAAACCTTGGTCCATCCCAATAGCATAATCTTGTCACCTGCTGGAAGGTAAGCTATGTAATCTGAATTACTCAGAAAGAAAACAATGACAACTTCATCCCAAAGCAAACAGGGAGCCAGCTCTGTGGTCACCAAGCTGGGCTCCCGGAGGCTTGCAGCCACATAGTCTCTCACCCAATAACTCCCCTAACAAAAGCATGCATGGCTTTGCAGATGAGAGTCCGAGGTCGGGTGCTGTCACCAATGTTACAGCTCTTCAAGAGAAAGTAAAGTATGAAGACTGAGCCAGGCATGGTGGCCCACACCTGCACAATTTTGTAAAATGGAAATGTAAAGACAGTGTAAGGAGTGTAGGGCAGATCACCCGCCTCTTTACTCTCTTTCAAGTCCATGTGATAAGACAGTGCACACTCTACCATGTGAAACAAGGTACCTGAAATGCGTAGCCTTGTGCGCAACGTGGAACCCACTAAAAGGCAGTTACACATGGACACAGGCTTGTAAACACCAAATTTTAATAAATAACTGGACTTGGTGGTACACACTTGTTACCCCCTTACTCATGAGGCTGAGACAGGAGTATCACTATGAGTTTGGGACCAACCTAGGATACACAGGGAGTTTAAGGCCAGCCTGAAATACATAGCAAGACCCTACCTCAAAAAATAGAAATGAGGGGCCAGGGAGATGGCTCTGTAGAATAAGCACTTCCCTGGCAAGCGTAAGGGCCTGAGTTCAATCCCAAATTCCACCAAAAAAAACAACAACAACAAAAAAAAACAATTTTAATAAATTAGATAACTCTAAAAATGAGCTAAAAAGTCAAGTTTTGTGCAAACATTAAAAATAAAAACCATCCTCACATTGTAAGATGAATTGTAAAAATCAAAAACACACCTAGAACTCTTACTATTTACCATCATTCCTTTTTTTTTTTTTTCTTCCTGAGACTGGGGATTGAACTCGGGCCCTTGCACTTGCCAAGCAAGCACTTATTCTACTGAGCCATCTCCCCGGCCCCTCCTTTTTTATTTTTTAAATTTTTTTATTAATTTATTCATTTAGTACAGGGTCTTGCTATGCTGCTTGGACTTGTAGTGACCCTCCTGTTTCAGCCTCCCCAGCACTGGATTACAGGCATGCGATACCAGGGCTCGCACTCAAGTCCTCGCGCTTGCCGGGCGGGTGCTCAGAGCACCCTGCTACCCCCCAGCCCTACCATCATTTCTTTGTGTCAGAGTTTCTTTCAAACTGCATCAGCAGAGCAAATTCCCTATGTGAATTTCCTTCCAAGAAGGTAACCCTCATCTCTTACACACGGTGCCAAAGTGTCACGTTTCCACGCAGCACAATCGCTCACACAACATGAGTTAAATACTGACCTTATGGAAAGAAACTCGTACCACACTGAAATCTACGTGTGAAGCCCCCATAACATTTTAATTCCCTGCTAAAAAGTCTTGAAAAGCCTCTGAGGTCCTCCAGCTTCCCATTTTATAAACGAGGGCGGGAGGGCCAGCAGCAGGTGACGCCCGCCGTGCCCCCCCGCCTGCCCGCCGCTCTCCCATCGCTGCTAGCCTGCGCTTCCTCCCAGCATGAGGCCTGTGGGCGGGTGCGCTTGGTCTTTCCACTGTTCTCTTTTCTGTTTTTCTTTCCAGGTGAAACGATGGCTTCTTAATCATAACTCCAAGCAGATATTCTTATACTATTGTGGGAACATAAGGTACAAAATTCAGAAATATGATTCAAGCCTAATTACTTTAACAAGATGAATCATTGTTTACAAATTACTTAGAGTCCTGGGCTCAGAGGCCAGAAAGGACTGCAGCATCCATGCAGATTTTCTTCTGGAAAGATCATGGAAGACTGCTGCACAAGCAAACTCTTCCTCTCCGTGTCCAGCTGAGCTCACTGACCGGCTGCACAGCCCCAAGCATGCTGACGGGCAGCACGCAGGGAGAAGCTCGTGACTGCCCAGACTGTCCTGGTCCCCAAGCCTGGCCGAGGCCTGTGCGCTGCAGCTGGTGCACAGGGAGGCGTCTGCACGTGTAGGTTGACCGTCCCACTAGCTCGCCCTCCTGTGGGACGTGAGGGGAAGGCACACAAACATTGCAGTGCATCATCACGAAACCCTGTTGCGGGTTTTGGTTCCCTTGGTGAGAAGCGGCTGCCCTGGTGTCAGCACTCTGGAAGTGGGGCGGCTGCGTCTCCTGCACACTGAACGGGGTGGCCCAGAGGAAACGAAGCATGAACCAGGGTTATACTCCAGTGCGGTTATAAGGCAGGGAGGTACGCTGACCTTGGTGCTCTAAGTCCTGTGTTCCATCCCTGGCACCACAGAAATAAAAATACAAACATTAAAAGAAGAAGACATGTAGGATCCATGGAATTCAGCGGAGCTTTGGGGACTCAGAGCAGGAGTCTGTGGATCAATTTGGCCTGTCTTGGCAGAGTCAGGAGGAAAATGGAGAATCCACAGCTCAGGGTCTCCTGGCGGAGACTGCTGCAGGAGGAGGCATGCACGTCCTCTCCGGACACAGGGACATCTGGCCTCTGGTGCACCTGCCACCTTGGGAGGGCCCACCAGGACCCAAGGGAGGGAGCCGGAGAGAGAAGAAAGGAGACTGAAGCAGGTCACCAGCAGGACAGCCATGCAGACAGCTACCCGAGGGCAGCAGAGCCGGGACAGCGTGGGAGTAGCTGGGGAGAAATAAGCTGAAAGTAGTGCAACTTCAAAGCTCTTCTGCAAATAAATCCTTGATTGCACGATCTAATAAAGTGTGAGAAATTTGTTTTATCATTTTAAATGACAGTAAATCTAGTATGTCCTTTTAAGATATTTGTTGCATCCAGGTATGGTGGCTCACACCTGTCATCCCAGCACTCAGGAGGCTGAGGCAGGAGGCGTGCCAGAGTTCAAGTCCAGCCAGGCTACACAGTGAGTTTAATGCCAGCCTGAACTGTATAGCTAGATCCTATCAGAGAGAGAGAGAGAGAGAGAGAGAGAGAGAGAGAGAGAGAGAGAGAGAAACTTGGCACATCGAGGGCAAGGGGGCTACTTTTATATCCTTTGCCATTGGTAAGGACTGCCAAGCACTGAAAGTAGAGGCTTACAAAGATAAATCATTCCTATGGGTTGTGCCCTAAAATTTGGTCAGCATGGACATTTATAAAGTACTTCCTCAAAGATACATTTGAAGCCAGTTCTGTTAGAACCCATTTCTGTGACTTCAATAGCATTATTAAAAGATGAAGTTTAGTAGATTTAAAAAAAAAAACAAAAAACGGGTAGGGACATAGCTCAGTGAAATAAGTGCCTGCAGCAAGATAGCTCAGTGGACTAACGCATCTGCTTAAGCAAATGTAGGCAGATGTAGGGACTGGGGTTCAATCCCCTGCATGCGGTGCCAGCCCTGCCCCCAGGTGCACTGAGATGCTATTGCAGGCATGATGGCTCTTGCCTGCAATCCCAGCACTTAGGAGGCTGAAAACAGGAGGATCACTACTTCCAATCTGTGTAGTGAGACCCTGTAGGCTCTGTACTAAAAATATACATTTAAAAAAAGTACTAAAGAAAAAATTCCAAATGACCCTAGAGTATGCCTGGTCCCCACACTCACACTGGAACCTGACCAGGTGTGGGGAGTGGCTCTGCCCTGGGAAAAGGCTGGGGCCTCCAGGTGACCCCGAAAGCACGGGGGCACCGCTGTCAGCAATAAAGGAGCCCCACCACACTCCACTCTGCAGGTGCTGCAGGCTGCATCGTCGGCCTCCCAAGCAGCGAGCAATAAACTGTCTTTTCAAGCCCCAGCCTGTGGTGTTTGCCATCTGCACCCGCCCGAGCTCACGGCGCACGGAAGCCGTTGCCTTTCAGAGCTGCTTCTCCACCTGGAACAGCTGGTCCCAACGCCCTCACACACTTGTCACAGTCACAGCTGGCCTCACTGACCCAACAGGTGGAGGGACACCGTGACAATCTTGGAGAGGGGGCCCTGTGTCCCTCTCCAGCCCTCACTACCTCCTCTCAGCCCGTGGCTGCAGCCAGCTGCCCGTCCCAGCGAGGCCTGGGTCCCTGTTGCTCTGGCTCTTTGCTGTGGAGGAAAGCCCAGAGCCATGAACAGCAGCGCTGCGGTCACTTGCTCCCTGGAGTGACACACAGTAGATGTTTGCCAGCACTTCCCACATGGAGAAGACACGGGTAAGAACAGCCAGGGACAGAAGACAGCGTTCCCAGGCTCCTCCACCTCCTAGGGCCCAGAGGCCAGGCCTTGCCAAGTGGCACATGCACCCCTGCCTCTGCACAGCACCACGCTGGGATGGGCTGGGGTGCCGCCGCGCCACCTCTGCAGGATCAGGACTAGACCCCCATGACCTTCCCTGCCACCACTGGAGCAAGGCACGCTCCCTCCAAAGAGCACCTTCCTGTTACCTCCCAGGCAGTAGTCACCCATGTGTGAACGCCTGCCCCAGCGGAGTACAGGTCCTTTCCTTGGGACCCTCCACTCTAGTGGGGGCTGCGGGGAAGGCATGGAGGTGTCCACGCATGACCCCTCTCCCACTGGCTCCACAGTGCCCAGGCCTCACAGCCTGTCTCAGCCCTGATAGCCTTGTGCCACGTCCCACGCTGGCTGCCTACAAGCTGGTGGCCACACACCCATTCCCCTGCCTTCTGGGACACTGAGAGATGTAGAAGCCAGCAGAAGAGGTGGGAAGACCTCCTGAGGGTCTGCTCGCAGGCACACTGCAGCCCTGGCTCAGGCTTTGGCAGCCCATTGGCAGCGCAGTGCTACACATGGCTGCAGAGAGGAGCCTGATCAACATCATCGGTGAGAATGAACTCCATGTTCAACAAGTACGGCTCCAGACTGAATGCAGCTCGTAGATAATTACATGGCCGGGAGACTCTGTAAAAACTTTAAATTTGAATGACCCAGTGGGGGGGGGGCCATATCTGTCTGTGTCTGTCTGTCTGTCTGTCTCTCTCTCTCTCTCTCTTTCTCTGCCCCCCACCCCCTCAGGAATAAAACTTAAGGCCTTTACACTGAGCTACATACCCAGGCCTTTTTTTTTTTTCAGTACCAGGGATTGAACTCGGGACCTTGTGCCTGCCACGCAGGTACTTATGCTGCTGAGCTATATCCCCAGCCCTCTTTATCCCTTTGTTAATGTTTTTACTTCTACAGGAGCTCACTACGTTGCTGAGTTGCCGAGGTTGGACTACCTGCAATCCTCCTCGTGCCTTAGCTTCCCAGAGCACTGGGATTATAGGCAGGCAGGTATATGCCACCAAGCCTTGCCAACAACACTGAGTGAGTAAGAACGAACATGTCATTTGATGTGTGGATTCATGATTTGTATTCTTCAAAACCAAAGATCCTACACCTAGGATGCAAATTGATCATTCTTAGGGTATAGATAAAATTAGGGCTGGGGAGATAGCTCAGTGGCATAAGCGCCTGCGTGGCAAGTCCAAGGTCCTGAGTTCAATCCCTAGTACCAAAAACAAGAAAAAAAAAATTAAATTAAGAATAAAGGGGCTGGGGAGATGGCTCAGTGGAATAAACACTTCCCTGGCAAGCTCAAGCTGAGTTCAATCCCTGGTTCTGCCACAAAAAAACAAAAAAAAAAAAAAAAAAAAAACTAAAAATAGAGCCAGTGAGATAGCTCAACGAACTAAAGTGCCTGCTTAGGCAAGTGCAGGGACCACAGTTTGATCCTGGCACCACATGCTGTGCCAGCCCTGCCCCCAGGGCAGGCTGAGCTGGCCAGAGTCCAGGCATGGTTGCACATGCCTGTAATCCCAGCTCTGGGGAGGCTGAAAGCAGGAAGATCACCACAAGTCCAAGCTGCAGAGTGAGACCCTGCAATAACCAAATACATTAAAAGAGAAGAATAAAAATAAAAAAGTTAATTTAGGGTAAATACATCATGTAGAATTCTCAAGAATTCAACGTAAATTAACAGGTCGAGGGCAGTGACACATACCTGCAATTTCAGCACTCTGGAAGCTGAAACAGAAAGACTGCTGCAAGTTCAAGGGCAGCCTAGGTCAAGGACAGCCTAGGTCAGGGACAGCCTAGGTCAGGGACAGCCTAGGTCAGGGACAGCCTAGGCTGCACAGTGAGACCCTGTCTCCAGTGAAGCACATAAGGAACCGTCCTTGCTCGCACCACGCAGAGGCTGCACACCCTCCACCTCCGAGGAGCACGCTGCGCACGATGGCATGCCGTGCCCTCCTCAAAGGTGCCTGCTGCTCCAGGTCCAGTCTTGGGACTCCTGACAGCACAGGATGCCTGCTGGTAAGGAGACGAGCCCCAGACACTCCCTGCCACTTCTTCACACAGGAAAGGGTGAGCACGGAGGAGCCTCACCCACCACTCCCAGGCAGCTCAATCTAGGCGGACACTTTCCTTTGTAGCAAGTCAAGAAACTGTCTCAAAAAACAGTGAGTCTACTCAGCATCATGATGCCAAGAGCTGTCCCAGGGTGCAGTTGCTGGCTCTGCCAAGCCTTGCACAGAGTCTGACAGCCACAGCCAGTTCCGAGAAGAAGAGCTGCCAGAGAAAAGTCATCTTGTCCCAGAAAGGCCTGGGAAATCCTCCAGACAATTTTAATACTGCACTTCAAGAAAGGAACCTGAACCGCATCACAAGAAGCCATTCTGCTTCCCTTTGCCAAGCAGATCGGTGCGGAGTTGCCTGGCCGCCCCGCCACCCTGCTGCCCTGCCCTGTGGACGTGCACTGGTCATCCATCCATCGCAGTCGGCTCACGCTGAAGGGAATGCAGCCCTGCTCACAGAGCTGCTTCGAGAAACCACGTAGCATGGGAAGAAATCGCTGCAGAGGGCAACTCGGCCTACATACGGAGGTTCCCTGCAGCCGCCGAGCCTCACTGTGCTCCCGTCACTGTCGAAAGCGCTGACGGGACATGAAGCGCGGCAGTCAGAAGGGACTGCCTTGGCTGAGTTCCAGGTGTTTCGGCTGGTTGGTCCTGTTGCTTGGGGGCCAGGAGCCCCCAAGGGAGCACTGAGGGGACAAGCCATCTACCCACCTCCCAGAGGTAAGCAGTGCCAGGCAGGGCAGGGACGACATTCGCTAAACCCCTAAACTCTCGGCATAGTTCAACCTACTGAAAAGTCCAAACCAAAGGGTGCATTTGTTTGAAAGAGGGAATATCCTCTTTTAATGACTGAGTTCTGCCCCTGAGAGAGGTCATTGAATGAGTCGGTCTCCAAGTGAGGAATTGTACACAGCTGCACATTATAATACAGTACTCGGGGCTGCCTGTTAGCTCAGGTGTCTAAGGGCCTGCTGAAACAAAGCAGTCAGGCTCAGGATGCTGTGGTTCGATCGCCTCATCCTCAAGCCAAACGAGACCCGCCCTGAAGGCATCCTGAGTGGGGCTCCCCAAAAAATCCTTCTGCCATTAAAAAAAATAAATACAGTACTCAGAAGAAGAAATGGTAAAGTCACTTGATGACTGTGCTTTTATTTGCATAACTCCTCCACGCAGCACTACAATGCACACCAAGACGTAACACTGCAGCACCGCACCGTGCGGGCACCAGCCAGCCTACACGTGAGCCCATGTCATGGAAAGACCTGCAGTAAGTCTCGGAGCAGCGCCTTCACCGTTGATCTGATTAGTCATTACACACTAGGCCATTAAGCATAAATGTCTACACCTATCAATACTAAATAAGTAATTAAGCAATGCTTTTTCTTACTGAGGGAGGTAAAGATTTATTTGAAGTTTTAAAACTTATTTA